GAAATGTTTCGGTCCATTAAGTCGTATACATTTCTTACCGTTACTACAATTGGACCTCGTCAGTACCGAGCTGTTCTTGGTTCTAATCACATCACTTTTATATCACAAGGAAGACGCGGATCTCAAGATGAGATCCTCTTCTTATTCGGAGGCGACTTGCTACCCACTACACCACCAGCTTTTGTGCTCCAAGTTCAGCATGGCAGCACATCTATTGTGTACTTGCCTTTCACGGGAATACACACCTTTCTTTTCTTCTCTGCCTCGTATAGAGAGTATTTTTTTTTGGCAGTTTTCCCCGTTTTTGTTGGTTTTCCTCTGTGGTTTTCTGCAGTAGTATTTTTTGTAATATCTCATTTACAGAAAGATATATACGATGTTCGGCCTATTTTGCTGGAAGATGTCAAAACGGAAGGTGAGATTCGCCTCCAAACGATGTGCTGGAGTCCCGATGGCAAGGTATTTCTTTTCAAATAATGATGATTTTCTTGGTGCCTTGTCCCCTTAGAACCCCTTCCCTAATCCCACGGCGTTTTTGAGCTTCTTTCCAATAAATTTTTTTGCCGTGCCACCTATCTTTTTTTTTGCCGTAAACTGGTTATTTTTTTTAACCTTTCATAAGAATGCCGTGATTTAAATGTGATTCTTTAATTGCTTATTGTTAGAAGTTTGAAAGATCTATTCGTCGCTATATTTTGATGCAAGAAGACGGCTATGACATCTTTTTATACTAGATTGTTCAAAAATACAACTGGGAAAATTGAAATTTTTCGAAATTAGGTAAAATATTGCTGTAAAATGTTGCAAGAATTTTGAAATCGAAAGACTGTCTTGTTTACAAGGTTCTTTTTTCCAACCTTAAAATTAGCCTTCAACTTTGTCCTTCAAAAGCAGCAGGTGGTATACTTTGTCGTGTAATAGATCAAATAATGATCAATGCTTTTTTGTTAAAAGTAGGTTAAAGAACAACTGCATTACTATGACGCGATACCACTCTCCCTGGTTCAAACTTTGGCCGCCCTACCCTCATTGAACTTTAGGTCTTTGTATTATATAAGAAATCATTATTCATTATTTGATCTATTACACGGTACAACTTGAACTGAGGATTTTGGCGGAGGGTTTAAAACTAAGAACCCGATTTGGTTTTTCTGCTTTTGCAAGTCCTTTGCTATACCATAGACGCCTAACTTCTTTTGCGTCTTATGAGGCAAAAGTTGAGTGCTGAGTGAAA